GGTGTGAAATGGTTCAGATGTCTTTACAGTGGTGGTGATAGAAACCAGGGGTTGCCATATGAGGAAAGTTAAAGTAGCTGAATTCACTCATTTGAAGGAGCGTCTGGATACTTTTGGACATGCAGTGTAGTTTTAACATTTCAGAAAATGAACATGAACCATCCAGACTGGACCATCAGAACCAGAGAAATCACTGTCTTTCCCAAAGAGCTGTCCACACACCACAGCTTAAAGCAGCATAGCAGGAACTGACAGATCAATATTAATTCAGTTCTTTCTTATCAAAATGGAGCTGTAACTGAGAGACGTGCTGGAATGTTGTTCATAGTGAACACCACCAATCAGAGTCCCACCATTTCCACAGTGAAATATACTGAAGGTTTTATTGAAATTAGGGATTGAACTGAAGTTTCTAACAATCTTATCAGCTCTAGGGTTTTTGAAATGTAAAGTTTTTTGTGTTTGTGTGTTGCAGGACGATAAGGATCTGGTACATGCATTTGTGATGGCGGAGGGACTGACCTGTCTGATAAAGGTTGGAGCTGAAGCTGACCAGAATTACCAGAATTACATTCTCAGAGGTACAGCTACAACATCCATGTACGCCAACCACAACACTGTCCAGAACACTAATTAATCAGCATCTGTAATGCCAACCACAACACCAACCAACAGACCAATCACTTAAACCACAACACTGACCATATCAACTATAATACTACAACACCACCAACCACAACACCAACCAACAGACCAATCACTTAAAACATAACACTAACCATATCAACTATAATACTACAACACCACCAACCACAACACCAACCAACAGACCAATCACTTAAACCACAACACTGACCATATCAACTATAATACCACAACAATACCAACCACAATAACACCAACCACAACACTAACCATACCAACTATAATACCCCAATAACACCAACCACAACACTAACCATACCAACTATAATACCCCAATAACACCAACCACAACACTAACCATATCAACTATAATACCCCAATAACACCAACCACAACACTAACCATATCAACTATAATACCCCAATAACACCAACCACAACACTAACCATATCAACTATAATACCCCAATAACACCAACCACAACACTAACCATATCAACTATAATACCCCAATAACACCAACCACAACACTAACCATATCAACTATAATACCCCAATAACACCAACCACAACACTAACCATACCAACTATAATACCCCAATAACACCAACCACAACACTAACCATATCAACTATAATACCCCAATAACACCAACCACAACACTAAACCATACAACTATAATACCCCAATAACACCAACCACAACACTAACCATATCAACTATAATACCCCAATAACACCAACCTCAACACTAACCATATCAACTATAATACCCCAATAACACCAACCACAACACTAACCATATCAACTATAATACCCCAATAACACCAACCACAACACTAAACACATTAACTATAATACCCCAATAACACCAACCACAACACTAACCATATCAACTATAATACCCCAATAACACCAACCACAACACTAACCGTATCAACTAAAATACCCCAATAACACCAACCTCAACACTAACCATATCAACTATAATACCCCAATAACACCAACCTCAACACTAACCATATCAACTATAATACCCCAATAACACCAACCACAACACTAACCATATCAACTATAATACCCCAATAACACCAACCTCAACACTAAACACATTAACTATAATACCCCAATAACACCAACCTCAACACTAACCATATCAACTATAATACCCCAATAACACCAACCACAACACTAACCATATCAACTATAATACCCCAATAACACCAACCACTACACTAACCATATCAACTGTAATACCCCAATAACACCAACCTCAACACTAAACACATTAACTATAATACCCCAATAACACCAACCACAACACTAACCATATCAACTATAATACCCCAATAACACCAACCACAACACTAACCATATCAACTATAATACCCCAATAACACCAACCACAACACTAAACCATATCAACTATAATACCCCAATAACACCAACCACAACACTAACCATATCAACTATAATACCCCAATAACACCAACCTCAACACTAACCATATCAACTATAATACCCCAATAACACCAACCTCAACACTAACCATATCAACTAGAATACCCCAATAACACCAACCACAACACTAACCATATCAACTATAATACCCCAATAACACCAACCTCAACACTAAACACATTAACTATAATACCCCAATAACACCAACCTCAACACTAACCATATCAACTATAATACCCCAATAACACCAACCTCAACACTAACCATATCAACTATAATACCCCAATAACACCAACCACAACACTAACCATATCAACTATAATACCCCAATAACACCAACCACTACACTAACCATATCAACTGTAATACCCCAATAACACCAACCTCAACACTAAACACATTAACTATAATACCCCAATAACACCAACCACAACACTAACCATATCAACTATAATACCCCAATAACACCAACCACAACACTAACCATATCAACTATAATACCCCAATAACACCAACCACAACACTAAACACATTAACTATAATACCCCAATAACACCAACCATAACACTAACCATATCAACTATAATACCCCAATAACACCAACCACAACACTAACCATATCAACTAGAATACCCCAATAACACCAACCACAACACTAACCATATCAACTATAATACCCCAATAACACCAACCACAACACTAACCATATCAACTAGAATACCCCAATAACACCAACCTCAACACTAAACACATTAACTATAATACCCCAATAACACCAACCACAACACTAACCATATCAACTATAATACCCCAATAACACCAACCACAACACTAACCATATCAACTATAATACCCCAATAACACCAACCACAACACTAACCATATCAACTATAATACCCCAATAACACCAACCACAACACTAACCATATCAACTAGAATACCCCAATAACACCAACCATAACACTAACCATATCAACTATAATACCCCAATAACACCAACCACAACACTAACCATACCAACTATAATACCCCAATAACACCAACCACAACACTAACCATATCAACTATAATACCCCAATAACACCAACCACAACACTAAACCATACCAACTATAATACCCCAATAACACCAACCACAACACTAACCATATCAACTATAATACCCCAATAACACCAACCTCAACACTAAACACATTAACTATAATACCCCAATAACACCAACATCAACACTAACCATACCAACTATAATACCCCAATAACACCAACCTCAACACTAACCATATCAACTATAATACCCCAATAACACCAACCACTACACTAACCATATCAACTAGAATACCCCAATAACACCAACCACAACACTAAATATACCAACTATAATACCCCAATAACACCAACCACAACACTAACCATATCAACTATAATACCCCAATAACACCAACCTCAACACTAACCATATCAACTATAATACCCCAATAACACCACCAACCACAACACTAACCATATCAACTATAATACCCCAATAACACCAACCACAACACTAACCATATCAACTATAATACCCCAATAACACCAACCACAACACTAACCATACCAACTATAATACCCCAATAACACCAACATCAACACTAACCATATCAACTATAATACCCCAATAACACCAACCTCAACACTAACCATATCAACTATAATACCCCAATAACACCAACCACAACACTAAACCATATCAACTATAATACCCCAATAACACCAACCTCAACACTAACCATATCAACTATAATACCCCAATAACACCAACCACAACACTAACCATATCAACTATAATACCCCAATAACACCAACCACAACACTAACCATATCAACTATAATACCCCAATAACACCAACCTCAACACTAAACACATTAACTATAATACCCCAATAACACCAACCACAACACTAACCATATCAACTATAATACCCCAATAACACCAACCACAACACTAACCATATCAACTATAATACCCCAATAACACCAACCACAACACTAACCATATCAACTATAATACCCCAATAACACCAACCACTAACACTAACCATATCAACTATAATACCCCAATAACACCAACCACAACACTAAACCATATCAACTATAATACCCCAATAACACCAACCACACACTAACCATATCAACTATAATACCCCAATAACACCAACCACAACACTAACCATATCAACTATAATACCCCAATAACACCAACCACAACACTAACCATATCAACTATAATACCCCAATAACACCAACCACAACACTAACCATATCAACTATAATACCCCAATAACACCAACCACTACACTAACCATATCAACTATAATACCCCAATAACACCAACCACAACACTAACCATATCAACTATAATACCCCAATAACACCAACCTCAACGCTAAACCATATAACTATAATACCCCAATAACACCAACCACAACACTAACCATATCAACTATAATACCCCAATAACACCAACCACAACACTAACCATATCAACTATAATACCCCAATAACACCAACCACAACACTAACCATATCAACTATAATACCCCAATAACACCAACCACAACACTAAACACATTAACTATAATACCCCAATAACACCAACCCTAACACTAAACCATTAACTATAATACCCCAATAACACCAACCTCAACACTAACCATATCAACTATAATACCCCAATAACACCAACCAGAATATCAACCACACCAACCAAAACATTACAGTAACACCAACCAGACCATCAACCACATCAACCAAAACACTACAGTAACACCAAACCAACCAAAACACTACAGTAACACCAACCAGAACATCAACCACACCAGCCAAAACACTACAGTAACACCAACCACACCAACCAAAACACTACAGTAACCCCAATAACCAACCAGAACCCCAATAACCAACCAGAACATCAACCACACCAACCAAAACACTACAGTACCACCAACCAAAGCACCAACCACACCAGCCAAAACACTACAGTAGCACCAACCAGAACATCAACCACATCAACCAAAACACCACAGTAACACCAACCACATCAACCACAGAAACACCAACCAAAACACCAACCACATCAACAAAACACTACAGTTACACCAGCTAAAACACCAACCACACCAACCATCAACCACATCAACAAAACACTGTAGTAACACCAACTAAAATACCAAGTATATCAACCCAAACACCACATTAACACCTAACACCAAACACCAACCACATCAACCAAAACACCAACAAAAACACCAACCACATCAACCACAAAACCACAGAAAAACCAACCAAAACACCAAACACATCAACAAAACACTACAGTAACACTACAGTTGATATTTTGGTTGGCGCTACTGTGGTTTTTTGATTGATGTGGTTGATGTTTTATTAACTACATCAACCAAAAAAACACAGTAACATCAACCAAAATATCAACCGAAACACCACAGTAACACCGACCAAAACACCACATTAACACCAAACACCAACCACATCAACTGAAACACCACACTAACACCAACCAAAACACCAACCACATCGACCAAAACACCACACTAACACCAAACCCCAACCACATCAACCACAGCACTAACCACATGAAGTGCAATACCGCAATAACACGAACCACAGCACTACAATAAGACCAATTAGAACATCTATACAGCCAAATATAGCACCACCCTCATCACCCAAACACCACAATAACACTGCAACACCAGCCACAACTACAGCACCAACCACACAACAATAACACCACGCCACACCATAATAACATCAACCAAACCACCAACTAAAGCCAGACAAAAACATCAGCTATAATATATATGAAATGCCACCCACCAATACCCACATCACCCACATCACCACAGTAACACCACAATAATTCCAGCACACCAACATCAACTGCAACAGCGACCATAACACGACGATAACACCAATCATATGAACTATAATACTAACCACATCAACTAAAATACACCAGTAACACCAACCACAACACAATAACACCGATTAAATGCCAATCAACACCAACATCAATCACAACACCAACCATAGTACCATAAAGTCATAACACCAGAAATTGAATCCCCTCTAATGCTCCTGTAACCGTCTACTGTCCTTACAGCTACCTGTACATGTATTATTATATGAGTGTGTGTGCGTAATAACAATGTTCTATATATATATGTATGTATATGTAGTAATTAAATGTTCTATATATATGTCATTATATGTATCAGATCTTATGTTGATTTATAAACATTAGCACACAGACTCTTTAAAACAATCAACTGCAGAACTTGTTTAGGGACTGAGCTGTTCCTCATCTCTTTTACTAAAAGCAGTGTTAGAGCGCCCCCTGCTGGACACTGGTCATTACAGTCCAGTCATGCACTGTTGTTGTGTGTTTAATGACTCTGTGAAAGGGTCTTTACTAAAATCAGTGTTAGAGTACCCCCTGCTGGTCAGTGCAGTCATGTGCTGTTAGTGTGTGTTTACAGACTCTTTGAGAGGATCTTTACTAAAATCAGTGTTAAAGTGCCCCCTGCTGGACTCTGCTGATCATTACAGTCCAGTCATACAGTGTAGCATCAACAACAGTGACAATACTACTACTACCACCACTGATAATACTAATTATTAATATTATTATTATTATTATTGTAATTATTTAAAAAAAAACAATTTAACTTTATATTTAATTAATAATAACAGTAATACAACAATAATAGTATTTTATTTTAACATAGTAGTTAATTAATTATTATTATTATCATTATTATACTATATATGCCAGTAATAATAATTCATAATCTCATCAGCTCTGTAATTTATGTTCAGTCATTTTAATACTTTATTTCCTTTCAGTGCTGTAATATTGTGTTTAGCTGTGAAGGTGTTCAGTGTTTTACAGTCTGGTGACAAACAAAATGTAATGGACAGTCAAGTTTTCTGATTACAGTTCCTTTAATAACACTTTTACTACTGGTAATATAATAATAATAATAATAATAATAATATTAATAATGCTGATGTGTCTGTTTTTCTGAGTGCAGCTTTAGGTCAGATCATGCTGTATGTGGACGGGATGAATGGGGTCATAGATCATCCTGAAACCATCCAGTGGCTCTACGCTCTGATTGGCTCGAAGGTAAAAGACTCCAGATTAACTAACTAAGTGTTTAGTGATTGATTAAGGCAGAGAGAGGATCTGATCTGATCTGATCTGATATGTTCTGATCTGTTCTGTTCTGTTCTGATCTGTTCTAATCTGATCTGATGTGATCTGATCTAAACTGTACTGATGTGATCTGATGTGAGCTGATCTGATGTGATCTGATCTAAACTGTACTGATGTGATGT